CACTAATAAATCTATAAGCAGACTTTACAAAATTAAGAAAATAATCCATTCGTCTTCTCTTACAATAGCTTCTGCTAGTATTTCTAGGTGCCCTGAAGTATCTCACTTCATTTATTTGAGAAATGTTTGTGTAAGCATCTCACTGTACATCCTTGCCATCAAATATTTTGTTTTTGAAGTAGGCTTTGTGGCTTAAAATATATTTCCAAAGGCCAAGGTCTACAAAATGTTCATAAGTATAAATATCTGTTGTTAAGTTAATATAATTCTACAACTTATAAGAACTACCAGAACACTTCAGATCATCCAAAATATATTTGAGCCAAAAAGCTGATGTCCTAAATCTGTAAATTGATGAGAATTAAGAAAAAGAGACAAACTGAGTAGTCAAATCATTTCTCCACATTGAATTTTATATCTTTAAATTGCATGATAATTTATTTACTAGAATATAGTCAATTTCAATCGCCTTGTTCTTTAACATAAAGTGGCAATTAGCATTCCTTTTAAGATGTGCATGTTTTAAGATAGTAAAGTAAAACTGGACAGGATTTTATTAATTTGACTTTATCCAATCTTGAATCATTTTGGATAATGCTGACAAATTTAGTTTCTTCTGTTTGGCGGTTGGCTCTTCCAAGGCATATAATTGAACAAGTTTCTACCTGTAGTGCTTATCCCAACTCAAAATATGATTCAGTCTATCTGTGCATGTAGAACAAGTTTAAGTTTCTTGTTAAGTAATGATCACACAGAGCATTTCTCACTATGTAATGACTATACATTTGATGTTCCAATATAATGGAAATCATTAAAAGATGGTACCAAATGGATGCCTGAAGTTCATCTCTTCATATGTTCATGTTGACAGAGTGTCATTTACAACCCCAAGGACACAATCCCACAGTCTGTTTATTATGATGTCTTATATTATCAAATCATCTTTTATCAGAGATCTCAAAGGGATTCTACACCACTAATTTCACCTTTTCCTGTGATATGTAGGGATAGCATTCCATAGCACTGAGCAAAGAGTTGAAGAACAGCTCCAACCCGTTGGCCCCTTGAGAAACTGAATGGATGGGAGGCTACAAGTGGGCCCATTTCCTATCAGTAGCAGGCACAATGCCATGCAAGATGGTGCTCAGACCCAACTTCTGTTCCGGGAGAGTTAGAGAAGTCCTCTTTTGTTTAGAGTTTTTTGTTTTGTTTTGTTTTTGTTTTTAATTTTTTTTGATGTTTATTCATTTTTGAGAGACAGAGAGAGACAGAGCAAGAGCGGGGAAGGGGGAGAGAGAGAGCGAGACACAGAATCTGAAGCAGGCTCCAGGCTCCTTAACACTCCTTTTTTGGTGGAATGTAAGATGAGAACACAGAAGTTCAGTTCCCCCATGACACAGGGTCAGATTGTATGACCAGCCAGGAGATGGTAGGGACCCAGCTATGACATGGGGTCAAAACTTTGAGTTCAGATTAAACTCAGGTAAGCATAAGAAAGAAAATTCTATTTAAACTAAGATGGGATGAGTATTCCCCACAAGGTACAGAATTTCTTGCCACTAAGGAAGACAAATATGGGTGGGTTAATCATTTGATTGGGATATTATGCAGAAGGTTTCCACCTCAGAGGGGGTTAGCTCAGTACCGGGAACACCTTCTTCCTTGTTTCTGTCTGTACATGTTACTCATATTGGTAGCATACGCTTCCTATATTTTCCAAGAAATATATAATTTTTCCGTGTTGCTTTTTGTTGTTGTTAAGGATATTAATTCAAAGGGACCGTGATCTCCACTCATTTTGCACTTTCCACAGTTCCAGTCTCAAAAGCTGAGCACTAAACAAGTCAACAAGTACTAGTCAACTAGTACTTACCAACTTGAAACGCAGACACATTTCCACAGAGACCTCCCCACCTTTGCCATAGATACAGATGGACACTGTAGTCAGCATCACCTGTGACCATACAACATATTTTTCACGTCTTCACAGGAGCAAGAAACACGGCATTCAGCAAACTGTAGAAGTGCACAGGCCCTTTGATTATGACTCAAACGTTTGACTGTGGAGAATGAAACTACAAAAGGCTGTGTCAACAAGCTAATGATGAATAAAAGCAAAATACACTTAAACAGTATGGTAAATACTACAAGCGTAGCCTGAAAATGAATAAAAAACACAAACACATTAAAAATCATTATAATTGGTGTTCAGATCAGAAGACATCTTGAGATTGTTCATTGTTTGAAAGTTTGAAAATGTTTACTATGTCAGGTCAAATATAAACTGCAGCTAAAATTATAGATAAAATGAGAGGAAAGTGACAGATTCTGGTAAAAACATTGAAATCACCTAGATTCTGTTAAAATAATATGAAAAAAGTAAATAGAAAAAAATAAGTAGAAAAAAATCTACTTAAATTGGAGGAAAACATATCTAACAAACTGTCAGAACTTACAAATGTATGAACAATAAATTTAACTTATTTGGGTAGCTTTTTCCAAAATCACTGGTATTTTTAATTTAAAATACATTATTAAATTTAGTGTATAAGAAATTGAGCTGTGTAAATATTTGCATTTATGCAAAAACAATAAACCTAAAATATATTTAATAATAACTATGGAAGTCGAAGTAATATCTATCGTCCCTCTCTTGGTTTAATCCTACATTTTCTAAGAGGCTGTTGTTTTAGCTTTCTATTTTCCAGAGACTGGCCAGCAATGAAAGTTTATGTGACAACAGCCAGCAATAAAGCTGCCTCTGCCATTCCCTCTCTGCAACAAGTGCAGCAAATGAGAAAGTCAAATAACGTCTACTTTCCCTAAAAGGTATATGAAATTTAAGAACGTCTTGAATTTTTATTGAAATAAAACTCTGGGTTGCAAGTTCTAGAAACCCAGCTCAAACTGGGTTTTGAGGACAAAAAGAAAAGCTTATTGACTTACAAAAACAAAGAATTGCAGGTTGGGAGGAGAGGTAGGAGGCTCAAGGGACTGTAAGACAGGGACTCCAGCACTGCCAGGACTCTTTCTATTTTGTCCTGTGTTTTGTCTCTCCATTCTCCTTCTCTCTTTTCTATAGGAGATTGTCTCGTGCCTTCACTAGCAGAAATGAGAGGATCTTTTCCTTGTGACTGCTGCTTGAATTAACCCCAAGAAGACCTTGTGCAGTTATTCTTGAGTCATGTGTCCAGTTGTGTGGTCAGGTTCGAGGGATACTATGGTTGAGATTTCCCTCTGAAAAGGTGAGCACAAAAGGAAAGGGAGATTGGTTCCCAGAGGAACAGAGTGCTGCTTCCAGGAGAACAGAGGAGTGCTAAGGACAGAATGCTATAGTTGTCCTCCATAACCAATAACTGCCCTAATGGGGGCCAAGATGTCTGGCTCTGGCTTATTTGGAATATCAAAATACGACACCATTAGAAATATCTTTCTTGGTCCTTTAATTATATAACTTGTTGAAGTGACGAGCAGGGATACAATAGGAAGAGACTGAAAGAAAAACCTGTAATATTGGGGTTTATAAAATCCTATGTGAAATATACACTCTACACATTAAATTTGGCCTTTGATTTTTGCCTGACAGCCATAATGCCATTTGATCAACGATGTGGCCTATGATGCTGTGGCTTCTGGATTGGTTTCTTTTAATGTTATTCTTGGATATCAATCAACTACAGACATCTTTATACAACTACTACTACTAATAATAAAAAAAAAAGGTAGTCTTCATTAATTCTTATTGGGTATTTATTCAAGGTTTAGTCAAGATGGTGAGCTGTCATTTTTTCCAGTTTATTCATTTATTTTGAGAGAGAGAGTGCACATGTGCAAGGGGGAACAGAGAGAAAGAGAGAGAGAGAGAGAGAGAGAGAGAGAGAGAGAGAGAGAGAATCCCAAGCAGTCTCCATGCTGTCAGCACAGAACCTGTCGTGGGGCTCAATCCCATGAACTGTGAGACCATGACCTGAGCCAAAACCAAGAGTTGGACACTTAACCGACTGAGCCACCCAGGTGCTCCTAAACTCTCATTTCTAAGTCTTCCAAAATTTATTTTGATCATGGAGTCAGTTGTTCCTACATAAAAATTAAATGTTCAGGCCTTTTAATGAAACTCAGAGGTTCTCTTACATATGCCATAAATGAAAGAGTGACAACAAAGATCTTGGAAAGAAACAGCTTGAAATTGAAATTATTGGGTTTTTCTAAGTTAAACTTTTACTATTGCATTCCTTAAATAGCTAGATACTTTCTTACTTTAGCTGGATATTATTGCCTACTTTCTGTTGAACCATTTTGGAAAGCAAACATGTGCCTATTTAATATCCACTATTTCTTAAACACTGATCCATACTTAGGATTTTAAAAACACCTATAGGGACTTTTTAAATATATTAATGCCTGGATCCAACCTTACCAGATTCTGAGCCAGTAGATCTGCATTGGGTCCCTTAAGTGTTTTGTTTTGTTGGTCTCTATTTTTAATTTTCCAGGTGATTCAGAAGCACTGTCATTTTGAGAAACCATGAATTTAAACTCAAATGCCTAACCTTTCTGCAGATTTCATTAGCAATAATTTGTAAAGTGTATTCATTATATATAACTCATGAAATAACTCTGTTTTAAAAAATTAGAGTATCTCTAATACTTCTCTAAAGACTGCATTTTTTCCCTGGCAAAAATCCTATCCTATGTGACAGTAGATAAGGCCTCCATTTTGCTCATCTATAAAATGAGGGTTTTAGATGACATGATTCTTAAAGTTCCTTTAAGCCATAAATTTATTTATTTAACCTATGTAATCCTACAGAATTAGATGTAGAAAATAAAAGAAATGTGAGTAGAAATACTTATTAAAATTTTCCTCAAAAATATATGGGTTACATAAAATGCTAGAAAAATGTAGAGCAAATAAAAAAATCCATAAATAAATGAGATTAATTCTTGAAATAAAAAAAATCCATACTCGTCATAGCTAAATCTATGTAAGAGACCAGCATCAGAGTCATATAGTGATTTAACATGCCTTGGTCAGTATTTTCATATAATTTCCTTGCTGATCCAGAGTAAGTACAGTGACATGTCTAGAAAGTAGTTGTCAGTATGCTGAGCTTTGGCAAAGAACAGTTTCCAACGTGGGTGGGGTGAGCCTTTTTTTTTTTTTTTTTTTTTTTAGTGAGATGTCACGCCTATCTGATTAGGACGCTGTGAGTCACTGTGTATTTGGCATACTCTCAACTGAAACATACCTTTGCTTTTCTTTGCTTTGGTTTCTCCCTCACTTATCATCATGGAAAAAGAAAAAAGTCACAAACTATAAATTCAGATACTCTCGAAAGAAACATTTCTGGAAGCACATCTAACTTCTCAGAACCTTGTATTGGTTGGACTGTCTTCAACCTAAAAATATCTGTGATAAAAGACTCTGTTTTTGCATTGCTGTCTTATGTTCTTAAATTATACCGTAAGTATATTTACCTTTTGTTCCATTGGTGAATGGTTTTAAATGAAATATTAGATAGTGATTGCTATTTCAGGTCGTGAATTACAAATCATTTCTTAAACTTTTAAGATTATTTTTGTCTTTACCCTGTCTTGTACCCTTAATAACTCACAGCAATACCATACCACCATTTTTATCCTAATTAATGTTATTATACAGATATCAACCCCACAATGGAGAACAAAAATGAGAAATAGCCAGATGTTTTATTTACGGTAAATTAGCTTTACCCAAGTAAATTCTGCAAGACGTTGGTTATGTTGTCTCTACTTTTCATTTTCATGTGAATGAGAGTCAAAGTCATTTCTTTTGAGGCATTCAACAAGAATCACTTTCCCCATGGCAAATTTAACTTTGGACTTTGGCAATAAATTGCCTTCAATAAGATATTCACATTAAGAATGTTCTCTCCTACCCATTGATCCTACTGTGCATGTCTAAGATTTCCTCTCATGACATCAGAGCAAGTCTGATATCACCATCTCCTCTTTTCATCTCTTGGATCTTTATTCTTCAGGTCCAAATGTCTCCCTGCTCTGAAGAGCTCAGAAATCTAACACTGACTTTTAGATTTATACAAGCAGATAAAACCTGATTTTCTTCCAAGACTCCAGCTGACTTCTGGTGTTCCTTTCATCAATGATTAACTTCATTATGAGGCTTAAGAAGTGGTGACAAACCCAGGGTTGCCTTGTCAGCGAAACAGGCCATATCTCTCACCTAGCAAAAACTACTTTGCTGGCACATCCAAATCCATTTTGAGATATGAAGCTAGTAGCCTGGTCAGAATAAAAATGCACATTTACTAAATGTCCCTCACATTGTAAAAATCTTTCCAGAAGCATTAACTTTTAGACTACATGAAAGCTAAAAATATCTAACACATGTATAGGTGTGCATGTGTCACAGTTTGAAAATAAAATGCAAGCTTTGTATATGTGAGTAATATTAGTGTGGAGAAACACAGGTTATATTTCTATAACCTGCCAATGTCCGTTTTCTGAAGAGTAAAGCAGCAATCACTTCTGCCTCCAGGTCTCTCCAGGTGTCCTACTCATGGTGCTTTCTGTGCAGCCATCTGTGTAAGATTCTCCACCCTTGCACTCAATCCACAGCCCCTCCCTGTTGAGGCTTGCCCCATTAGTTTTCTGAGGTCAGATTAAATCCAGGCGAAAGTTCTGATTGCTAGCTGAGATAATCTGTAGTAACTGGATTGCATTTTGCAACTTCTCAGCTGGGCGGTGGTGGTGGTGGTGGCTTAATAGTTATAATTGAGGGATCCCATAATGCCTTCCTAGAGACTGGTATCCATATCAAAAGCCCTCCTGTTTACCTTGACACTATTAGATTTGCCTTGAAAGTTTAAACTCCGCAAACTTCAGGAAGTATCTTACCATGAGACTTTGACAGCTGTTTACAGTAGTTTTTATCCGTAGTTTAACAGAGAAAATTTTCTTCATTGCCTCCTGAGGAAACAAATCCCATGTGAGAATGCTTGATATTAAAATAGAAAATACACAGCAAGCAAAGCTCATATGGAAGCCATCTGAAGAAATTTCTGGGCCTTTATGTTGTGAGTTCTCTGTGTGCTAGAAGTCTGTGTCCTATTAAAGGGGTACACATATATAAACTTATCTTTTTACGAAAAATGAAACTTAAAAAGAACACTAGGCCTTTGTATCATTTTTATTTCCATGAGTCTTTCGTTGTTGTAGTCCTCATTTTAAATTCATAGAGTTGTCCTAGTTTATGAACATGTGAGCTGCCCTCATTCAGATAGCTGTTATGGAATATGTTGAAAACTTGAGTGAAGTTTTGGGAGGATAGGAAATAGCAGTGGCTAGACTTCCCCCAGGTGGAAAAGTGAGGCAAAGGGACCAGGAGTCAATATTTAGTCTGTTACTAGCATCGAATATAAAGCGTTTTAGAATCTGAGGATGGGTGTATAGAAAGGCTTGGTGTAATTTAATTTATAAATGGATAGCAAATTCATCCAGCCCTCCTTATGCCTTATTTGTGGTGAAACTAGGCATTGAACTCCAGAAGTTTACTTCCCTGAAAAATGAAACTAGATTACGGTAATTTAAAATCTCCAACTTTGTATTTGTAGAACAAACTTAATTTTGCAGATGTTATGGGAAGGAGGAGAAGTATTTCTATCTGTGCTTATCTGCCTTCAGGTCAACTATAAAATAAGATTTCTTTGAGTGGGTCTAACTAAACTATAATGAGATTCTATAAAAAATTCAATTGAGAGGAATGGAAAGAGTTCTCTATCATTTACTTTTACATTTCCCAATAAGCAGCATCTCATAGTAAGAGTTTCTTGAGAAGTATGCAAAATCTGAGAAGTAAAATGAGCCATAGGAATTACTATGATTAGGCCTCAAGTTAATAGCTTTGGCTTGTGGTCACAGAATTAAGATCGTCAAAGCACAAATAGTGAAAAGAAAAAAGTAGCTCAAATAAGATAAGCCAAGATTTATTTTTGTTTGATTCCATTAGAAAACAGGAATTGAAGATGAAAGGCATACAAGAAGATACTATAAGTAGAATATCACAGTCTTAAATAGTATATTAATCTTCTTATCCCTCACATGAAAATTCTTCTAAATTGTAAAAATGGCAAATGTATTTATATGTATTTTTCAGCTTCTAATTGGTCAGTAACCAATCAATGGTTCTGAATCGAGAGCTCATGGTTTCCGTTTCATGCTATGTAATTCAGTAAGTAAGCTGCATGTATAAATCTTATTCTTTCTTTTGTAAAATATTATTTGAGTGCAATTGCAATAAATTATTAATAATGGATAAATAGAACAAGTGATTAAGCTTTGTATTAAAGATACCTACCTGGTTTCGAGGTGCATTTACTCTGTGCTCAATATTGGGTTTAACAATTTTCATACATTATGAGGTTTAATCCCCAGAAGAACCCAATGAGTTAGTGAATGCCTATTTAATAGTGAGGAAACAGGGCACCTAGGTGGCTCAGTTGGTTGAGCGTCCAACTTCGGCTCAGGTCATGATCTCACGGTTCGTGGGTTCAAGCCCAGCATTGGGCTCTGTGCTGACAGCTCGGAGCCTGGAGCCTACTTCTGATTCTGTGACTCCCTCTCTCTCTCCCCCTCCCTTGCTCGCGCTGTCTTTCTCTGTCTCTCAAAAATACATAAATGTAAAAAAATTTTTTTAAATAATAATAATAGTGAGGAAACTGAAATGCAGAGAGCAGTTAACTTGTTCAGCTCACACAGTTAATAAAAGATGGAGCGAGAAGTCAGAAAGAGAATTTTGCTCCCAGAAATATACAATTTTGATAAATGGTCCCAGTAGCCAGCTCTCCTTTGGGACACACCTGTACTTATTTGAATAAAGCAGACGCAGTCTGTCATGTGGATTAGTAAGCTGGAGCTCCGGAATCTGGGCTCAGTCAACAGAAAAGGAATTGCCGTATCCTTGATGGGTTAGAAAGAGCATAAGTGTTTACATCCGTCTGACTATTGGAAACTCATACTGTGATCTTAAGTAAGCTGCTTAACTGTTCTGTGTGTTCCTTTCTGTAAAATAAAAAATGAACGTGGTACTCTACACAAGGTTGTCAAGAGGATAAATTAGATATGAAATCCCTCCAACATGGTCATTTTATCAATTCATGCTGATACCCCTCCTTCCATATATTCTTAAGGCCTCAGGTAGCTGATTTGTGAGATAGATATGATAGTTGCTTAACTGATGATGTAATATTTCAGCTACACTGACTTAAAAATGTACTTTTCTGAAGCGAAATTATCTACTTATAAGACAAATTATGAGTATTTGGGGGGAGGGGGAAGCATATTTTATAAACAGAAAAAGCACATCCCCCTGAGTGTACCTAGCTGGCATTTTGTCAATTTCTCAGTAGTATGTCTTACAATTATTTTTAAATGTAATCATCTATGGGCCAAACACAATGTTCATGTATACTTAGAAGATGCGGGGTGCCCCGGCCTGGCTCAGTCGGTGGAGGAAGGAACTCTAGATCTCGGGGTTGTGAGTTCAAGCCCCATGTTGGGTGTAGAGATTTCTTAAAAAAGTAGAATCTTTAAATAAAAAAAAGAGGAGGAGCATATGCTTTTTATTTTTAAATTAAAACAGTTCCTTGCACGTTCTACATTATATTGTTTTTAAAACAATAGGCAAAGGCCACCCAAGGCATTTAATTCTAAAATGTTACTAACATAACTCTTAAACAGGAGCCAACTACTGTCATGTTTAAATTAATATTACTCATTTCCATAAATTGGAGCAAAATAATTATCATTCAAAAACAAGAAATGTAGAGATAATAATATGCATGTTTGTAGTATTATGACTGAATACAATTTGCTGGAAAGCTCTGCTTGTAAATTCCATTTCTTTTCTTCCTGACAAGCTGGCTTCACAAACTGTAGAAGTGTACTTCTTTGCATACATTTATTCACTCAACAGATACTTAGTGGAGAACCTGCTCTGTCATGCGCCAGGCAGAGTTAAGTTGTACAGGTACAGTGATGACAGGAGAGCTGTGAGCTCTGCCCTTGGGGGACAGGGGTCTCATGGGGATGGCGTTTATTAACTAAACAGCACTACGATATGCGTGAGGGAGGCCATGGCAGGGAAAAGGGAGTGGCCATTGGGAGCACACACTGGGGAACACAACCCAGACTTCATGGAGGAGGTTGGGAAGGCTAGCTGGTGGGAATGACTTTCGAGCTCCTCTCTGAAGGATAAGAATTACTAACTAAAGGGGAAGAGTGGAGGAAACAGCATGTGTGAAGGTCTCCAGGAGACATTAAGAGACATACAAGAATCTGAGAGAAGCTTGATCTGGCCTGAGCATAGAGCGTGAGGTGGAGAGGTCCAAGAGATGAGGATAAAAAGCTAAAGAAGAGTTAGATTTTGCAGAGTTCTTCTAACAATACTTAAAACTTTGGGCTTGCTTCTAAGGGCAATGGATTCCAACCAGTACAGCAACACAATAGGGGTGAGGGAGATGTTTAGAAACCATTGGTGTCCATTTTGATGTCCAATTTCTTAGACTAGATTATGCTTCCACATATGCAGAGGTCTTACAAAATTGCCTGGCACCTTCTATGTTGGGTCTCTTTGCTAGGATACATGGATTATGGCCAATGCAGCCATGTTATAGAGAAAAATGAAAAGCATATTTGTAGGCAACCATCTGCTTTTAAACCAGTTAATGACTATGGCAAGAGAGGCTGCATCACCTTCAACCCACATGTACTTCTTGCCACTGTCACTTGTCTTTGGCCGTATCTATTGTTTGCCTATCCACTGAGGCACCCTTCTCTTTGTGAGTGAAGTGGGAGAATTGTTCTCAATGTTCAGTGCCACAGGGCTGAGAGGATCTGTAAAAAGTTTCTCAAGCCAAAATGACCACCTCCTAATACAACCTCAGTGGCCTCATTTCGCAGAAGTAGAATACATGGTACTTTTCACATTGCACTGTGAGATAAAGCACTTGGCTAAATAAATGCCAAATGCCAGCCTTGATTCCTACTTCATTGTGTCTTTATGTCATTTTTGGAAAAGGCATCGAACTTGGAAGTCAAAAGACTTGAACTTTAATGCTAGCTTTGCTACCTAGCAGTTTTATGATTCCAGCAAATAGCTTAACTGGTATAACCTCATTCCCTTCCTCTGTGAAACTGGAGTCTCACTCTTGCCTCGAGATGGCTTTAGAAGGATATGCAAGATAACTATTAAAAAAAAGAAAAAAAAACGCCTAGGGGCACCTGGGTGGCTCAGTCTTTTGAGTATCCAACTCTTGATTTCAGCTCAGGTCATGATCCCAGGGTCATGGGATTGAGCCTTGTGTTGGGCTCCATGCTGAGCATGGAGCCTACTTAAGATTCTCTCTCTCTCTCTTTCTCTCTCTCTCTCTCTCTCTCTCTCTCTCTCCCTCTGCCCCTCTCACCCACTCATATGTGCTCTCTCTCTCTCTCTCTCTAAACAAACAAACAAGCAAACAAACAAAACCATAAAAAACCCCCACCTAACATAAAACGTAATAAGTAGTAACAGCTGTCATTTGTTGAGTACACACTATGTCTGGCTACATTATACCTTTTTTAAATCCCCATAACACCCCTTTGATAGATATTACTTTTCACTGTCTACATTTAAGGAAAATAAGGCCTAAAGAGGTTGGTTAAGCAACCTGCTGAAAGTCACACAGCTTGGTGGCAGTGGTGGGATTTGAAGCCAGTTCTAGCATATACCAAAGCCATGCTCTTCACTCCAGTGACGCTCCCTTCTCTTCCTTCCTATTTGGTACATATCAACCACACAGTGCTATAGGTTGCAATTGAAAATACTGAATAAAAAATATTTTTATTCACAAAAACCTAAATACATACTTATATATGTATCATGCATATAATTTCATGAGCAACACATTTTTGCAATATAATTAATTCAAGTAATAATTCTGTCCCACCCTGATATTATGCTTGTCCCATTCCTGATACCATCTTCTATGTTCCAGAGATGTGCAATCCTACTTGTGCTTGCTCAAGCGAAACAGACTCAACTGCTCCGTGCCTCTCACTCCCCAGTCGGCATGAAGACTTCCAGCTGCTTTGGTGAGTAATGGAGTGACTAAAGCCAACACAGAAAGGAAGCAATGCCTTTTTAATGGAGGTGCAACATAAAGGAAGACATTCAAGCTGGTCCAGCAAGTGCAAATGATTTACTGGGAGAGGCCCACTCCAGTAGGTCCAGCAATTTCCCATTTGTCCCTTCCCAATCCTGCCCCTCCCAGTCTCCACCCTCCTGCCCTTCCCCTGGCACCTCCCTCTTTTTATGGTGATTGCACCTCTTCAGTTAACAGCTCACACACCGCACCTTGTCTACGGTACTAGCTCTGGCCCCAGCAATCCTCTCTGTCTCAACCCTCAACCCACCCCCCCCTCCAGCTTCTACCTTCATGAAGCCTCTCATTCATGTGCCTTTCCTGACTCCTCCACAGACAGCTCCCAGCTAGATGGCTCAACCTGTCTTCCTGCATTTCCCGTTTCCTTTTATGGATCCTTTCCAAATTACTTCAAATTGCAAACCAGATTGCCTGAGTAAACCTTCTGGGAAGTGTCTTCCCAAAGACAGATCATCTTATATGAATGGATTGCTAGACTCTTAATTAGTCAGGTCAGCTCCTCTTAATTAAGCAAGGCCTCATGTAAATGCCACATGATGTCCAGTCTAGTGTAGACAGATAATCACTAACTACTGGTTAACAATTAGGATGGCGCTTATTTCCTTACAGTAATTACAATAATAATAAGAATAATAAAGCCTATTTATCGGTCCAAAACTCTCTGTGTGGTAGGTGCCTTTCATGTAGTTTCTCACTCAATACTCATAACATTCCTCTCTAGGTAGGTATTTTTGCCTCCGTATATACCTGTTCAAACTAAGGCAGAAAGAAATCAAGACTCTTGTTTGCTATCATATGGAACTAAGTACCAGAAAGATGCAAAGTCAGTCTCTTTAAACTACCTGCCTAGGCTTTCTGATGCTTCCAAGGTCTGCTACACCCTCCATCTGTTACTGGCCCTTCTATCCTATTTATCACAAAGACGGGAAACTTCAAAGTCATGGTGGCCCCTCCCTATTCACCATTCTCCTTAAACAAGTTTTTGCTAGAATCTTATCTATTTTATCTATGTAACAATTTTTCAGTCTGTCTCTTTGTTTCACTTTTCACTGCAACCACCGAGTTCAGGCTTTCATTACCTTTCTCCTAATCTATTACAACGCCCTTCTAATTGGTAATTCTCTCTCTCTCCCTCTCTCTCTCTCTCTTTCCAAATCCAGTATTCACACTGTCACATATTTTTCCTCCTTAAACAAAAAACCAGTATCTTTTCACTGCCACTTGAGTGAGAGAGACCTCTCACCTTAGCATTGAAAGAAACTCTACAAAATGATATCTGGTTTATGTGTTGTCATAGTTATCTTAAGTGGTCATAGTATATCACAGGGGAGGTTTGGGAACAGAGATCAATCACACAAACAGATTTAAGATCAAAACTAAGATGTCTAACAAGATCTTGAGTCCATTAGAAGGAATGGACTTCTAATTCCATTCCTTGGTTGGCAGGAAACCAAGGCAAAGCTTCATGCAGAGAAGTCAGAAGTACTGTGAGCCAGAAATATTGTAGTGACAGAAAGAGCGTTCAGAAGAAATGGGTTCATTCAGGTGACAGTACAGATACAGGACCAGTCCAAATTAATAACAAATAGGGGTAGTGCTGAAGGAAGTAGGGAAAAGAGAGTCAAAGATGGTATGTCGTTGAGTCTAAGTGAATTAGAAGGTACCTGTAACACAAAGAGAAAAGAGTAAAGAGAACTTTTGGTCTAGAAAGATAGAAATTCTGCTTTGGACACACAGCTCTAACGTAATTTATCCCTACTCTTGAGATACCTACCAAAATGAACTAAAGCAAATATAAATTTGCCTTAATCATCCAAGAATTGTCTCAAGTTTATTTATTTATTTATTTATTTTTTTAATATATGAAATTTATTGTCAAATTGGTTTCCATACAACACCCAGTGCTCATCCCAAAAGGTGCCCTCCTCAATACCCATCACCCACCCTCTCCTCCCTCCCACCCCCCATCAACCCTCAGTTTGCTCTCAGTTCTCAACAGTCTCTTATGCTTTGGCTCTCTCCCACTCTAACCTCTTTTTTTTTTTTTTTTTCCTTCCCCTCCCCCATGGGTTCCTGTTAAGTTTCTCAGGATCCACATAAGAGTGAAACCATATGGTATCTGTCTTTCTCAGTATGGCTTATTTCACTTAGCATCACACTCTCCAGTTCCATCCACGTTGCTACAAAAGGCCATATTTCATTTTTTCTCATTGCCACGTAGTATTCCATAGTGTATATAAACCACAATTTCTTTATCCATTCATCAGTTGATGGACATTTAGGCTCTTTCCATAATTTGGCTATTGTTGAGAGTGCTGCTATGAACATTGGGGTACAAGTGCCCCTATGCATCAGTACTCCTGTGTCCCTTGGATAAATTCCTAGCAGTGCTATTGCTGGGTCATAGGGTAGGTCTATTTTTAATTTTCTGAGGAACCTCCACACTGCTTTCCAGAGCGGCTGCACCAATTTGCATTCCCACCAACAGTGCAAGAGGGTTCCCGTTTCTCCACATCCTCTCCAGCATCTATAGTCTCCTGATTTGTTCATTTTGGCCACTCTGACTGGCGTGAGGTGATACCTGAGTGTGGTTTTGATTTGTATTTCCCTGATAAGGAGCGACGCTGAACATCTTTTCATGTGCCTGTTGGCCATCCGGATGTCTTCTTTAGAGAAGTGTCTATTCATGTTTTCTGCCCATTTCTTCACTGGGTTATTTGCTTTTCGGGTGTGGAGTTTGGTGAGCTCTTTATAGATTTTGGATACTAGCCCTTTGTCCGATATGTCATTTGCAAATATCTTTTCCCATTCCGTTGGTTGCCTTTTAGTTTTGTTGGTTGTTTCCTTTGCTGTGCAGAAGCTTTTTATCTTCATAAGGTCCCAGTAATTCACTTTTGCTTTTAATTCCCTTGCCTTTGGGGATGTGTCGAGTAAGAGATTGCTACGGCTGAGGTCAGAGAGGTCTTTTCCTGCTTTCTCCTCTAAGGTTTTGATGGTTTCCTGTCTCACATTCAGGTCCTTGATCCATTTTGAGTTTATTTTTGTGAATGGTGTGAGAAAGTGGTCTAGTTTCAACCTTCTGCATGTTGCTGTCCAGTTCTCCCAGCACCATTTGCTAAAGAGACTGTCTTTTTTCCATTGGATGTTCTTTCCTGCTTTGTCAAAGATGAGTTGGCCATACGTTTGTGGGTCTAGTTCTGGGGTTTCTATTCTATTCCATTGGTCTATGTGTCTGTTTTTGTGCCAATACCATGCTGTCTTGATGATGACAGCTTTGTAGTAGAGGCTAAAGTCTGGGATTGTGATGCCTCCTGCTTTGGTCTTCTTCTTCAAAAGTACTTTGGCTATTCGGGGCCTTTTGTGGTTCCATATGAATTTTAGGATTGCTTGTTCTAGTTTCGAGAAGAATGCTGGTGCAATTTTGATTGGGATTGCATTGAATGTGTAGATAGCTTTGGGTAGTATTGACATTTTGACAATATTTATTCTTCCAATCCATGAGCAGGGAATGTGTTTCCATTTCTTTAAATCTTCTTCAATTACCTTCATAAGCTTACTATAGTTTTCAGCATACAGATCCTTTACATCTTTGGTTAGATTTATTCCTAGGTATTTTATGCTTCTTGGTGCAATTGTGAATGGGCTCAGTTTCCTTATTTGTCTTTCTGTTGCTTCATTGTTAGTGTATAAGAATGCAACTGATTTCTGTACATTGATTTTGTATCCTGCAACTTTGCTGAATTCATGTATCAGTTCTAGCAGACTTTTGGTGGAGTCTGTCGGATTTTCCATGTATAATATCATGTCATCTGCAAAAAGCGAAAGCTTGACTTCATCTTTGGCAATTTTGATGCCTTTGATTTCCTTTTGTTGTCTGATTGCTGATGCTAGAACTTCCAGCACTATGTTAAACAACAGCGGTGAGAGTGGGCATCCCTGTCGTGTTCCTGATCTCAGGGAAAAAGCTCTCAGTTTTTCCCCGTTGAGGATGATGTTAGCTGTGGGCTTTTCATAAATGGCTTTTATGATCTTTAAGTATGTTCCTTCTATCCCGTTGTCTCAAGTTTAAAAAGTATGTGTTGATTCTAAATATTAGATACTAAGTGCTGTATTAAAAAAGAGAACTATATTATGCTCCAATCAGTCAGCAACTCCCTTTTGGTAGTTATTTCTATGATTTCCTTTGGCTTCAAACAATAGCTAAGGCCCCTGTCATTAACCTCCATATGTTGAGTTGAACACTTACATTAATATCTCTGGTGAACTTAGGTTAATGACTAAAATTATTTCAAGGCTATTGATCAGTGACAGTAAGGTAACTCTATGAGTGGTGAATCCTGGAATGAGCACCTGTTGAAAAATGGGTCTCATGGTGCTTAAAATTTCCATCATTTTACTTATCCTTTTGTGTGTATGTACAATTATTAAGATAACTGAGGAGGCATTTCAAAGGATTTTTAGAACTGTAAGTAAAGTGGTTAATAATTATAAATAACCATCATTATTCCCTTGGAGAGCAAGGCAATAAAAATTGAATAGCTAAACCATGTAATGAATGCAGATTATTTAGCAGAAGATGTCTCTAGAACATACCTATATAAGGGTAGTATGCTTCCAACATACATCCAAGTACTTTAGCACACCTACGAGCATTTTTTAGTGAATGAACAATCTGATGCCTCATAAGATGATGTGGAGTGACAACAGATATATGTGAGGAAGAAGAAGAAGATTAACCAAAATGTTAAGTAGTTAAGAAACAAACAATTATGTTTTTTAAATTAGTAAATATTATAGTGCACATTATGTTGAAGCTGGCTGAGTCACAGACAAGAAGACAAGAAATAAGCTCATTTAATTTCTAATTTAGTGTTCTCTATAAGGGAGAACTGTTTGAGAAAGTGCTATCTTGAGACTTCATCCTGGAAT